CACCTCTTCTCCGCAGAAACATGCAGCTTCTCCGTAGAAACACGTGCCTTCTCCGTGGATGAGCACTTTCCTTGTGAATTAAAAAAGGCACGCCCCCCTGAATATTTATTGGTTTTATACGACGGGGGGCAGGAAGAGAAAATAAAGTCACAAGTCAACATCGTGGTCAAAACATTACAAGCCAATTTTATAAATATGAATGCTTTAAATATGGGTACAGATATCCGGCATATAAATTGTGAGAATTGTCAGGCAGAGATTTTGATCGTTTATAGCTTTTGTAACAATTGTGGAAATAGAGTTGATACTGGTAAGTATACATACTATAAAATTTTACTTTTTTATATTTATGTTATCATTTTTATTTGCGGATTTATATTTTATAAATTGAATATTTAAATATACACCATATTAATCTGTCAGTCAGTCTCGTATGTTTGTGACAAGTCTGCCAACAAGCCGTCAACAAGAGGTATTCGCACTGCTTGTCACAAGTTGTCAACAGGTTTGGAACAACTTGTTGACAACTTGTAACAACCTTGTCGAAATTACCAGACTTGTTGCAAGGTTGTTCTGACAAGTCTGTTACATGCTTGATATAACAAGATTGTTACAACCTTGTGTTGACAACCTTGTAACATCCTTGTTATATCATGGCTGTAACAAACTTGTTAGCACAGTCTTGTAACAATTAGGTTGATAATGCCATCAAGCTTGTTACAAGTTGTTAACAGCTTGTTTCAAACCTGTTACAACAAACTGGGAACAAGCAATGCGAACACAACTTGTTGACAGCTTGTGAACAGACTTGTGACAGCTTGTTTGCAGACTTGTTACAACTTGTGTGTTTTTATGTGTGTGGTGTAGGTATTTGTATATCCACTCATACCTTGTGTTTACACTACAAGCCTTAATTGGCCTAGCCATGGCCAGACCAAGGTAAATATGTGGTGTGTTTACACCGTTGCACTGTTTTTTTAAGAATTTTGTAATTAATTTTGTATATTTTTATCTGTTGTAACGGTTTCTGCTGGTTGTCCGCTAATCTCTCACTGTGGGGACACATTGCCATAGAAAAAAGGCCCAGGCCAGGGGCGAAAGTGTTTACATTTCCACAAGCCTAGGCCACCAGTTGTAGTGAGCCCAGATCTCCTGGCCTAGGTCAGGCCAATTAGGTCTGTTTACACTGTCAAAATGAAGGCTAGCAGTGTAAACACGACTATAGATATAAGTAAATATACTCAAAGTCAGCATCATGTTCATGTTATGAGTGACTGGGAATATGCTTTGGAGTTTGGCCAAGGGGGTTATGTTGTGGCCACCTGTCTAAAGGAAAGTAATTGCAACCTGAACAGATATACCCATGGGACATCATTTATAATACTATAGTCAGTAAAGTGTTGGATATGGTGTAGAATAGAGTTAGTAAAGTATTTCATTATTATTTCATTGATAACAGATTAACAGTCTTGTACTGAAGAAAAATGCTGCTTAAATATTGATAATAATTTATTAAAGGTGCTGCTTGAATTTGAACAAGCTTTCATTGGTAGGTTTGCAACTACCTGAAAATATATAAGGAGAATTTCAAGGCCCTTCATCAGGAGTTACTAGCGGGGGTCGGGAAAATTGCATGAGCTTTTATACTAAAAATATAAAAGCAATCATGTAACAAAAAATAAACCAATCAAGATGGATTTAGTCAAAACATATACTATATTCTTCAAACATATACTATTATTCAAAACATACTATATTATTCTTTATGATGACTTCAAACTACTAGACAAAACATCAATCTAATTTCAATTGTTTAAATTTATTATTTACAGAGAAGGAGATCATTCAACATTACTTCCATCGTGGTTTTCCTTATGATGTCATACTAGATTTTTTAAGCAAACATGGGATATCTATTAGTTTACGCACTCTCAAAAGACGACTTCAGAAATATGGACTGAGGAAAAGAAACAGTGATGTAGATGAGGAGACAGTACGAAATCTGGTTAGAAGTGAAATGGCCAATGCAGGAGAACAGTCTGGGTACCGTACAATTTGGCACGCACTCAGACTGATTCATAATATCCACCCACCAAGAACATTGGTTGCAGAAATTCTTCATGAACTGGATCCTGAAGCAAGCAATGCACGTAGATCTCGAAAATTGAAAAGGAGAAAATACTTGTCCCCAGGTCCAAATTATTGTTGGCATGTAGATGGTTAGTTTCAAAAGTCATACTAGTAATACATAATAACTTGTTAAAACTTACAAATGTACCAAAAAATGTGTACCTCTAGAGCTACTGTAGGTTGAAATATTAAACTACTTGGCTCGTCCCCAGTTACTTAAACCCGTGTTGAATGATGGCAATAAAGTTTTTTCCTTAGGCATTGAAAGAACTTTCGCCGCTATATACAATACTCAATACTATTTTTTCATATCTTGCTTGCTTCTACAAATATTTTGATTGAAAGGAATGAAATATCCGCCATCTTAAATTTTTGTAGATATGCATGTCACTATGTCACGTCACAACGGGGGTCACACAATTTTTTTATGTATAGAGAACCACTAATCATTTTGCAGTCAAAATTATACTCTGTCATACCATTCGAAATATCAATATCACTCAAAACCTTTGAAACATCTACCAATCAATATTTGGTCAGCAATGAATACTTTTATATTTTTACAGAATAAGAAGGTACAGACAGCACAGGCCCGTATTATCAAATACGGAAATAAAATTGAAATTATGCCCCCCCCGCCCCCTTACGTTTTGCAGAACTAATAGCTGTTAATGTTGTCATTTTTGGGGGGCTAAGTACCGAAATTTGGTATGAAAAATTGAGATAAAGGACCTGGAAACCAATTGCAATGTACTCATCCGGAATTTTTTTTTACCTAAAAAGTTGTCGACGGGGGTGGGGGGGGAGGTCATTGTCAGAAAAAAAATTTCAACCCCTCATCTCAAACCCTCTGTTACATTCTTTCTGCAGTGCCCCCCCCCCCCAGAAATTGAGAGCCAGCTACGGGCTTGGTACAGCAGAAGCATCACTCAAGCAAATATTTGTCCGCGTCTTTACAAGCGATTCGTCATCAATCACGCCATCCTGGCTCGTACAACTGGCACTTTGTACCTACTAAAACCTGATGAAAACTTCCGGTTGTACTAGCCAGGATGGCGTGAGTGAGTTAAAATTTTCGTGGACGTAAAACAATGAGGGGACCGACTTGAGTTACGCTTCTGCTGTACCTTCTTATTCTGTGGCACAGCAGAAGTGTAACTTGAGTCGGTTCCTTTGTTTTACATCCACGAAAATTTTAACTCGCTCACGCCAATCCACGCCATCCTGGCTAGTACCATAGCAGGGCCTTTTTTAACATACAAGCTGGGGGGGGCATTTCCCCCATTGTGCCCCCCCCCCCACGAAATCACATTTTGCCCCCCCAGGAAAAGTCCCTTTTTCCTAAAATTATATAAACAATCCAGCGAAGATTAACAAATAGATAAACGGAAAGTAAGTTTTAGGCTTTATCCTTTGTTCTTGTTTAACAAAATCGTTAAACAAGAACAAATTTAAATTGTTACTTTTTTTACCACTAAGTAATGATAAATTATTGTTAATATTTTTTTATTTTTTGGATGCTCAGAATGCAGGAAATAGCATTTCACGGTTTCAAATTTCAAAAATTTTCTTGGGATTATCCCTCTAATAAGTAATGATAAATTACAGTTAATATTCTTTTTTACTTTTAATTTTGTGCATTTTTCCATCTTTTATTTCAAATACAACTATAGCATAGAATAAGAAATGAATAGAAGGGCAACTGAGTGTCGGATCCTTTGAAGTTGGTGTCCTCGCGCATGTCGTGTCGCGCATACCGGAAATTCGACGGCCGCCATTACTCTGGCCAGTAACTTGCTGCCAGAATAAATATAAATTGTATTGAGCGAGGGTTATATTTTCGTTTTAAAAGCATACCGTGGGAGTTTATGTTCAAAATTTTGGTTTTAATGACCAGAGCATTCAAGGAGAAGGTATGTAGTTTCAATTTATTTATTTAAAAGTCAAAGTAAATGCTCGTAGGCGCATTTTTCTTCGATATTGTTCATGGAGAACCGAACCCAGTAGCTATCGCCTATCCGTACAATAGCACAGACAGTAGTTTTAATATAGTTTTAAGTTTCGATGTTTTCTGTCTATCTTTAGCAGTGATTGAATAACAAATCATAAATGGACATCCTTATTGCGCCTCAATATCCTAAACTATTAATAAGAGTGTCTAAATGTTTGGCTCGCGAACAGTAACTTTAGTCATTTAATTAAGCCATTAAGGCTATATTTAGTCTTGTAAACCAGAGCAG